TGTAATGATATTTACATTATGGAAACATGATTTTGGACATTTCAAGTTTTTCACTTCGGCAGATAAAATAAATTGAGCAAAATCAACTCAAAATCCTGCGAATGATTCACTTTCCTATAAACCACTGAATCACTTGTGTTCTAAATGAAGCTTCGGACGTCACTGATCACGTGACTCTGGCCAAACGACGCAGTGCTTCTGCAGTGTGTTGTTTTTTGGGTACGCACCGGAGCATCAGCTTCAAGCGGGCCATCATTAGTCTAATGGATAGATTTAATCAATAAACCGTTCTTATGTAAACATGCACCATGGTGTGGTATTTCTTCGCCCGTCACTTCTTGATGTTGGTAAATAAAATAAATGCAAAATACATAATAACATACAACACATTATGGCGCATGCCTCTGCTGTGAGGTCCTGCCTCCAGGTACTTAGCAATTAACCACTGGACACCTGGACAGGTCTGTTTATAGATCATATTACATTTGCTAAATCTCTGATATATTTTGAAACTGGGGAAAGAACTGATTGTGAACTGGGAGGGGAAAATTCTTGCGAACATGTCAAATAAAAACATGATGCATTTAAGGTTATCCTGTTTGGTTTTTATTCAAGAAAAGAATTTGTTCCACTGTGCGAGGACTGAGTCTGTTCCTTTTCTTGGATATAATTTCTCCTGCCTTAGAGAAGATCCTCTCATATGGAACGGATGATGCTGGGGTGCACAAAAACTGCAAAGCAAGTTTATAAAGATGGGGGTATACAGTCTTCCTGGTTCCCCAGAAGTGGAGCGGATCCTCTGTCCGGGGAATCAAAGGATCTGCCATGTACCTCTGTACTTCCACTGTGGCATCTGCTGTGGCATTCCTCACCTGCCTCTCCACCATATGGCTGTCCAGCAAATCCCACAGACCATCACCTAAAAGACTAATGAAATTAAATAGCTGCACATTTTGTAGAATAACATTTTCAGATGTATTTTAAAATGAAATATTTTGGCTCACTCATTACATCAAATGTGAATATTCAAATGTAAGTGATACTAAAGATATCTAATGAAATTTATATTTTGACAAGCAGATTTTAGTTTTGTTAAATAACTTCTTATAGTCACATATTTCCAATAACAGAATTGAAACTTTGGGATATTAAAGCATATTCTTACTGTTGAGACATTTTTAGAATATGCTGGAACCCTGTCATTGTGTTATGGACTTCAGGTCAACAAAAGCCACACCTGACTGAGTTGCACAACTGGTTGCTGGCTCTGGCTGTGACGAGGTATGGGACAGGAGGGACAGGCATTATCTGGTATTTTTCATTTTCAATGATGGTGGCACATTCTGCAGTCAGATGTCTCACTGTAGCTTGAGCATTGGTCTGACTGCAAAACCCCACAGCCTCGAATCTTGGATCAAGCAGGGTAGCAATGGTCGTTACATTCATTGTTTCCAAGTAAGACGAACATTCACCCAGCATTCTTGTGAGGTTCATGCACAGCTGGCGGGCTTTGTCATCCAGAACTTGAGGTTGTTTTTTAGCAATTGCATACCGCAGCATGCACACAAGTGGAATGACTTTGGACCCAGATACTCTCTGCTTTCCAGAAAGTTCAGCAGTGGCTGTGTAAAAAGGAGAAAGCACTTCCAGGCACTCTTTAACTGAGAGGTACTCCTCAGCAGTGACAGGTGTGAGATCTGTTCTCATTGAGACAAGGGCAGCACTAACTGGCTCTCTCATACAGATGTTGCAGCATGGTGTATGTGCTGTTCCACCTAGTGTCAACCTCCTGAAGGAGCTTTAGATGTGATCTGCCCATCTGCTGCTGCATTTGGCAGAGCTTCTCCTTTGCTGTTGCGCTAGATCGGAAATAGCTTACCATTTTACGAGCCTTATCTCTGATCTCCTCAAGCCCAGGCGTGTTGTCAATTGATTTTCTCACAATGTGGTTCAGAGTATGTGCAATGCACTTTGTGTGGCACACTTTCAATATTTTAGATGAGGAAATCATGTTTGGTGCTGCATCAGTGACGAGGCATCTGACTTTATTTTGGATGCCCCACTACTCCATCAAAACCTTTTTCACCTCAGCAATATTTTCTGCTGTATGTGCCTTGGAGAAATGTCCCACTCCTAGCAACACTGTGGACAGTGTATCTTGTTCATTGACAAAATGACATGTCACAGCCAAGTAGGCATCCATATGAATGGATGTCCACATGTCACTGGTGAGACTGACAGCTGTAGCCTTCTCCACTTCTCTCTTTGCTCTCTCCTTTTCCTCCTTGAACTTTTCCGCCACCATTTCCTTTAGAGCCTTTCTGGTGGGGATTGTGTAGGTTGGGTCCAAGACACCAACAAACTGTCTGAAACCAGCATCGTCAACAATGGAAAAGGGCTTCGAGTCCTTCACGATCATGTTCACCAAAGCAGCATCGACCACCTGCTGTCTGGTCTGAGTGAGCTTTGTGTTCATGATCCCTCCAATACACAAAAACATTTGAATATGAGGATAAAAATAGGCTTAACTGTGTTGTATAAGTTGATTAGGCTTTAATGCCATTATTCGCAGGTAGTTCAATAGCCATTATGTGTTGTGGGATCAAGTAAATGGGTCTCCCATCTTACCAATAGCCTGCGGACATTTCATAGGAAGCGGAAGAACCACCAACCAGTGCATCCTCTCACCCAAAAAGTGAAGTCAAACGTAATTAGTGACATTTTGTGCTAGTGATGTGAGACATGAATGAATGACTGAATGACAGTTGATGTCCATACCATAAATGCTTGG